AGGTTTACAAGATTTTATTTTAATGGCATTTTATATTACATTATTTTTCTTTAATTTAATTGAAATGTTTTATTGGCAATATGACATACATTGCCAATTCCTAAATTGGTTTTATAATTATTTTCGGTAAATTGTTACTTTAATTTGTGTATTCTTTACACTGTGCGCGACTTTCTTTTCGATATACATACTTATGCAGATATATGATGATAACAAGTATTAGTAACTATAATGTTGCAATTATCGCGTTTAATGTCGGGGAAGAAAAACGCAAACAATTCGATCGGCTGACCCGAATAGTTTTAGTTAATTGAGGCGAAAAAGTTTACGATTTAACGATCGCACACCAATTATGTGGTTCGCTGGTACTTAGCGTACTTGCCCCAGGAAGTGAAACTGCAGTCTAAAATGCTGAACAAAAATGCTTCTAGATAATATTTTAATTGTCATAATATTTTTATTTAAAAGACTAAAATAAATACCTACATTATATTTTGTTACAATTTGAAATACCTTGAAATACCTTGTTAAATTAATACTATTATTACATAATATCCATTAATATTTTTAATTTCAAAAATATTTCACCTGGAAAGTTTTTGTATTTTTCTCAAAACTTTGCATGACATGTCCGCTTTTGATTCTACCTACACCACTTAAATTGGAAAATAAACAAAATTAAAAAAGTACTTTGGTGTTTTTGTATTTTTTATTAAATTTAAAAGATATACCTACCCATAAGTGTAAATGTAAATTTACGAAAAAAGGTTAGATTTTCATTTTTATTTTTAAGAAAAATACTTTAACTTTTAACGTGCTAAATATGTTATAAAAGAAAACATATGGTACTATTTAAAATGCCTTTAAGCACTTCTGTTTTTATAAACAATAGTATACCTTAGGGTGTCCCAAAAAAAAAGAATATTTTTTTTCTTCCCGTCTCTTGTGAAAATATGTTGGTTTGTCATGTTTTAAGAGCCCTGTCAAAAGATCAGCACCATTAAAAAATTTTTAGGGGTCGCTCAAGATTTTTAAAAATTACCAAAATCGTCAAAAATTGGATTTTTTTTAATTTTAATTTTTTTTCTCGTTCCGATATTATTTTTTAATTTAAAAATAATAATGATTCTGAAAATTTCAAATCGATATTTTAATTTCTAAAGGTCGCTCAAGATTTTTTTAACTTTCAAAGTAGAGTATTTTGAATGTTTTCGAGCGACCTCTGAATATAAATATTAACGAACTCTTAGCGACTTTTAGAAATCAAAATATTGATTTGAAATTTACAGAATTTTTATTATTTTCAACCTGAAAAATAATATCGAGACGAGAAAAAGAATTAAAATAAAACAAAAATTCAATTTTTGACGATTTTAAAATTTTTTAAAAATCTTGAGCGACCCCTACAAAATTTTTAATCGAGCTGATATTTTGAAAGGGCTCTTACAGCATGATAAACTAACACATTTTTACAAGAGACAAGAAAAAAAAAATTCTTTTTTTTTGGGACACCCTAGTATACCTATTATGTATTAAGTTTAATAAACGCCATTTTAGTCACAAATTTAAATTAGGCACGAACGAGCTTGCGAACGAGTGTTTAATTAAATGACTAATTTAAAATGAGTGTCAAGAAAAGTTTATAAACGAGTTGCATACTATAATGACTTTTTATCTAAAAATGATTTAAATTAAATATTTGTATAGAGCGACATCTATAAAATAATAGAGCCGTTGAAAATGTCAAATTTTTTTATGCAAATCGAAATGTATCCCTTGAAAATGGACTAACAACAGTTTTTCGAAGTGAAAGTGAAGAAAATGTTTTATGGGCAATTCACAGTGAAGTCTCCACCCGAAATTAAGTTAAATCTAGTTTGCCGGCGAAATTAAAAGATCAGTCGTTGAGAAATTATTTAATACTTTTGTATTTTTGTATTGAGATAATAAAATAATTTTCACATTTAGTATTGTTTTGCAAGAAAGGCACTTTATGTTAACGATTGTATGATATTTGACAACTGTCAACTAACTTAAAATTAAATTCAGCCCGAGACTAAAAAACTTGTTGCTAACTTCAGGCAGTGACAAATTTAATGAAGCCACAACTTGTCAAAAGGTCACTTAATGTCATGAAAACATGTACGATAATGGGCGTTTTAAAGGTGGGCGTGGAACACATATTTTCTTATAAAAATTAAAATAGTATTTTATTATTATTATGCGACCGAGTCGGTCGGACCGACCATTAAGACATGAGTATGAGAATTGTCATAATGAATGCGAGTGTGTTAAATTGAAGGTTTACACAGTATTTTTTTACGACTATCACAATAAAGTAAAAAATTAACACGCTTTTGCGACCTGTTACAATTTCTGGCGGGTTAAATTTTCAATTTTACATTCACTTGTTAAAATTGATAAATATTTGATGTGACAGATGTCCAGGGCAGTAGTTGATATTGATCAAATATTGGCATGTATAGAATTTCTGTTTGATGATATTAGCCTGTATTGCATTTTTATTAGATAAAAATCTGTATCTTATAAGATAATAAAAAAATATAAATATAATAAAAAAGTTGTAGTACAGGTAGGAAATGTCTAATAAACGAATTAAAGTATGGAAGTAAAATTATATAATATACAAGGGCTGACAAATAATAATTATATAATAATAATAATAATAATTTCTCATACAAATTAGTAGATTTAAGTTATAAATCAAGCTATCGGCTTGAAATGTTGGTTAATCCATATTATACCGTATACGGGTTGTTATTTGATCTACTATTTTTTATAATATAAAATATAACGTTTAACGAAAAGGAACCAAGCGCCAAAAACTTTTTCTGGACTTGGTAAAATCAATTGAAAAATATCTCATTTTTATGCTGCTCAAAAAATTAATAATGATTTGGGAGCTCTTCCAATCCTTTTGAGAAAAGTTTAAAATGATTATCAACCTTTTGAACATTATTAAAAATGAGTTATTTTCCAAATAATTTTACCAAACCCAGAAAAAGTTTTTGGCGCTTGGTTCCTTTTCGTTAAATGCTATCCATATTATAGTGATATTTAAATAAAACGAATACTTAGGTACAAGTATTGGGTGGAGTTTTTTAGTAGGTACCCACTACCTACTTGGGTCATCGTTATACACTATTAAATAAAAGAGCTTTAAAAATATTTTCTCGAAAAACCCTGGAACACGTAAACTGAAATATAAGTTGAAGTATTTTTATAGAAAATTTCATAAAGATTGGTAAAGGCGTTTTAGAGTTTTTTACATATTATGCGTTAATTTTGACAGGCAGTGTATATAATTTATTATAATGCAATGTATGATATTTTTACTCATCAATTTCTTGAATAATTTTTCATGAATTTTTGAAAAATGAGACTTGATTTTCTTTTCTATTTTTGAATTCACCATAAAACGAACTGTAAAAAATATTTAGGGCATTCCATTGAATTCTTAGCCCTTTATTTTTAATATTAAAATATAAAAAATAAAGGGCTAAAAAAATTTTTTTCAATGGAATTCCATTGAATTTTTAGCCCTTTATTTTTTATATTAAAATATAAAAAATAAAGGGCTAAAAATTCAATGGAATTCCATTGAAAAAAATTTTTTTAGCCCTTTATTTTTTATATTTTAATATTAAAAATAAAGGGCTAAGAATTCAATGGAATGCCCTAAATATTTTTTACAGTTCGTTTTATGGTGAATTCAAAAATAGAAAAGAAAATCAAGTCTCATTTTTCAAAAATTCATGAAAAATTATTCAAGAAATTGATGAGTAAAAATATCATACATTGCATTATAATAAATTATATACACTGCCTGTCAAAATTAACGCATAATATGTAAAAAACTCTAAAACGCCTTTACCAATCTTTATGAAATTTTCTATAAAAATACTTCAACTTATATTTCAGTTTACGTGTTCCAGGGTTTTTCGAGAAAATATTTTTAAAGCTCTTTTATTTAATAGTGTATAACGATGACCCAAGTAGGTAGTGGGTACCTACTAAAAAACTCCACCCAATACTTGTACCTAAGTATTCGTTTTATTTAAATATCACTATAATATGGATAGCATTTAACGAAAAGGAACCAAGCGCCAAAAACTTTTTCTGGGTTTGGTAAAATTATTTGGAAAATAACTCATTTTTAATAATGTTCAAAAGGTTGATAATCATTTTAAACTTTTCTCAAAAGGATTGGAAGAGCTCCCAAATCATTATTAATTTTTTGAGCAGCATAAAAATGAGATATTTTTCAATTGATTTTACCAAGTCCAGAAAAAGTTTTTGGCGCTTGGTTCCTTTTCGTTAAACGTTATATTTTATATTATAAAAAATAGTAGATCAAATAACAACCCGTATACGGTATAATATGGATTAACCAACATTTCAAGCCGATAGCTTGATTTATAACTTAAATCTACTAATTTGTATGAGAAATTATTATTATTATTATTATTATATAATTATTATTTGTCAGCCCTTGTATATTATATTCACCATAAAACGAACTGTAAAAAATATTTAGGGCATTCCATTGAATTCTTAGCCCTTTATTTTTAATATTAAAATATAAAAAATAAAGGGCTAAAAAAATTTTTTTCAATGGAATTCCATTGAATTTTTAGCCCTTTATTTTTTATATTAAAATATAAAAAATAAAGGGCTAAAAAATTTTTTTTCAATGGAATTCCCTAAATATTTTTTACAGTTGGTTTTAGCATGCTAAAACACCAGTAAAGAAGAATAAAACACTAAGCAAGCCAATTCAGATGTATGGCATCTATCATCAAAAATGATAAAACCCCTTCAAATAACCTAAACATACACTTTTTTAGAAAAAGGTAAAAAAGATTGTATACAGTAGATTGAAAAGCACACGGTGCACCTAAGCGCGGCGTTAAAGGAGGAGGTGGTGAAATTTGGGCCACAGCAGCCGCCAGCTGAGCCAGGTTTTCTTCTTGAGCTCGCACTCGCGATCCAGCAACCATAGGCGACGACGACTCATAGACCACTCGTTGCTGACTGTCGTGATCCAAAGCACACTTCGCACAGAGACTTTTTCAGTCAAGTAACAGCCATCGAGGCAGGCTGGTTTTACACGGCATACGCGATCGTGTCCGTTTGTCAAAAAAATAAAAGTGCTTTAAATAAGAAACACAAAAAGATAAACAAAGTGATTGTGTGCGCTCACGTTTCTCCTCTTCTTGAACTTGACAGTGATTTTTGTTGTTGATTTTTTATTCGAAGAAGAAGGCCATGGGTATGCGATCAGCTGCCACTGTGATTATTTTTGTCGGGTTTTGTTTTATACCAGGTAATACAAATTATATTATATTTTTACAAAAAAAATTCAATAATGTTATATTTTGGTCATATATTAATTTAATAGCTGTTAGATGAACATTTCTTTAATTGTCAATAAAGATCGCGATTTATACACGATTTCGTTAATTAGTTAAAATTTAGCTATTGAGATGAGATATGGTTCATTATAGATTATAAATAACGGTTTTTTATTTTTTGCAAAAAGATAATAAAATTTAAGTGTCATTGGAAGTTCCAATTTGAAACCTAGGAAGTTTTATAATATTAAACTTAAAATTGGTTGTGTAAAAAATTGGTAAAATTATTAAAAAACTACAGATATTAATTAATCTAAATTGACAAATTGGTATAAAAATTAATAATTGGGTGGGTTTATAAAAAATTACAATAAATGATGATTTTTTTAAAGTTGAGGCAATTTATAAAAATGATATTATATTTTATGGAAAAGCTGTTTCCAATTTAGTAATAATAGTTTAACAATAGCTACTAAATAAAAAAACAGTTTTTTCCGTGTACAGGACGTTTTGACACTAAATTGGCTTAATCCTTAAACGATTTTAAGGAAAAAAGTTTACATAAACTTAGGTCCGCAACTGTTTGATTTTAAAGATATGAGGTGTTTAAAATTAAAAAATATATATGGGAAAGGTCACTGACCAACAATTTTACTACAAAACTGTGCGTCTAAGGGCCGGTTTATCAATATCTGGTTAAGTCTCAGTTAGACTATCTGACAGAGAACAATGGTATCCATGGAAACTATCTACCAGATAACTAACTGCAACTTTAACTGGACATTGATAAACCGGTCCTAAGGGACGGTTTATTAATCTCTGGTTAAGTTCCAGTTAGGCTATCTGACAGTTAAATTCCATATCGATCGTTGTGAGAACAATGGTAACCATGCAACTGCAACTTTAACTGGACATTGATAAACCGCCCCTAAGACAAGACGACAATTTTTACATAAAAATCTGTATTATTTAATACTTGGTAAAAAATAGAAAAAAAAAATATTCAAAAAATATATACTATTACATAATAGTGTTCAATAGTAACATCACTTTTTTGGTCAAAATTACAAAAAAACATTTGATAAAGATATACATAGGTATACATAGTTAAAAAAATATATACACAATAAAAAAAGTATAAAGAATTACTTTTATTATAAAAACATAATAGTAGTTTAAAAATTCTGGCTTAAATTGTGAAGAAAATTGATCTATTTCTCTACGGTTACGACGACAAGATTTTAATTTTCTGCACGGTAGTATTTATCTATATTATGATATAAAAGTTAATTGACACTGGCGTTTGTCATCGAATCTGCGGTTATGGTAATTACACAAAATTGTAGGTACTAAATTCTTTAATAAAATTAGAAAAAGTATAGTGTATAACTCTTGAGAAATGGCCATTTTCATGAGTATGAAATATTGCAACACGAGCCGAAGGCAAGTGGAGTAATTCATCCAAATTTTCTCAATCGTTGAATAATATACTATTACTTAATAGTGTTCAATAATAACATCACTTTTTTGGTCAAAATTACAAAAAAACATTTGATAAAGATGTAGGTATACATAGTTTAAAAAAAATATACACAATAAAAAATGTAAAAAGAATTACTTTTATCATAAAAACATAGTAGTAGTTCCTAAATTTGAATTCATTGAAACAAAAAACCAAGTACCTATAACACTTTTATTTTATTTTTATGTTATATTATTATTATTATTATTATTATTATTATTATTGTGATAACGACAAGCAAAAGTGTTCTCCCTGCGACTCCCGCCTGTTTGCCATGGCTCAACCCTTAGATTTAAACACGATACGACAAAAGCTTTTGAACAATCAGCAGCTAAATTTATGCGGGCGCTTTTCCCGTTTACATTTTATATATTACGTAACGCGACACCCCAAACTCATAGTATGTCGCACACACATCTTTGCTTTACTCCACTAAATGCTGCATTCCGGTTCGGATTCGCATTTCATGGGAATTTGTACCACAAAGCTACAAAAATTAGACTTGTTTTTGCGTCCAAAAAACATGCTACAGTAACAGTAAACTCTGATGAGATGTAATTGTGTGTGAAAAAACTGGAAATTTTGTCTGTCGAAAATAATTAAACAATTTGTTACATTACCCAGATTCTTTTAAACTTTTTCTGCAAAGTAATTTAATGTACACACAACCAAACTTATATGGAATCACCCAGTAATTACATGAAATAGTATTTTACTTTAAAAAAGTAAACCAATTTTATTACAAAAAATAAGGAAAAATATATTAAAGGAAATTTTATATTGAACAAATAACAAAAAATGTGACTTTCTTTGAATATAAACTTTTCGGTAAATTAGAATTTGGAATAAATAATAGGTTTTTAATAATTTAATAATCATTGTTGCTTTCTTCTTAGTTATTGAGTTATTTTGACGAGCTCTAATCCTTCCTTTAACATTATTCCACAAGTGCACAGTTGGATTAAGATCCGGTGAACAAGAAGGCCACTCTAAAACAGTCACACCTTGCATTTCTAACAATATAAATAAACAAAATCGCCGAAGACAGTCATTTGTGACTTATGGCAAGGAATACCAAGGAATACCATGGTATCCCAAAATTTAACAGCCAATTCTTATATAAAATTAACCCCTAAATCCGAAAATACCGTCAAAAATTATGAAAGTGCAGCAGTTTTTGAGATATAGTCAATTCCATATTAAATGGAAAATTGACTAAATCTCAAAAACTGTTCTACTTTTTTAACTTTTGACGACATTTTCGGATTTAGGGGACAATTTTACATAAGAATTGGCTTACATTTTGGGATACCATGGAATTCCATGGTTAACCATGGTACAAGTGAAAAAGCACCCACTAATAACTATTAATTAATCATTAGTCATTTTTGACTCATTCATTTTTAGAGACCAAGGAATACCATGGTATCCCAAAATTTAACAGCCAATTCTTATGTTAAATTGTCCCCTAAATCCGAAATTACCGTAAAAAATTATGAAAGTGGAGCAGTTCTTGAGATATAGTCAATTCCATATTAAATGGAAAATTGACTATATCTCACTCTCTACTTTTTTAACTTTTGACGACATTTTCGGATTCAGGGGACAATTTTACATAAGAATTGGCTGTTTCATTTTGGGATACCATGATATTCCATGGTTAACCATGGTACAAGTAAAAAAACAGCCACTAATAACTATTAATAATTATTAGTCATTAGTCATTTTTGACTAATTCATTTTTAGAGAGTACCAATAAAATAATATTCTGCTTCAAATGGTGTGAAAATTGTATGGCATTAGTTTTGGCACTAAGAATGAACTTTTTAACATTACACTTATTGGTAATTTAAGTTAGTCATTCCATCTGTCAAAATTTTTTGAAAAAATTAGAAGATAGAAAAGCGATTCAAAGGACAAAAGCTCCAGAATTTTACGTAGAATTCAAAAATGCAAAAACATTTATAGGATTCAATTTGAAAAAACCAAGTTACTGTCACTTCCGGTTTAACAGGAGGTAAAAGTGCATTGAAAATATTTTAGAAAAAGAAATCCCATAGCTGCGACCAAAATTGTTTTTTCTAGTTCTCTATTAACCTCTAATAAATTAATCAGTTAGGTGAATCAGCCTGTATACTGTATACTTATAATTCTAAAACTAACTTAAATTTTGCGCCAACCTGTATATTAATAAAAACAATATTTGCCCAAATGAAATTACAAATTAATACATAATTTTTGCATTATAAATTAGCAAAATATAGCATTTATGAGCTACAATCTGGATTAATAGTATTTTTAAACGGGAAATAGAACATTATAATCCTTAATATTGGTGTCGATTCAACTGTAAATTAAAATTTATATTTATCGAGTTATTATGCCGTTTTCTCGATAAAATAAATTATTTACATATTAAATCTGCTAGAAATGTAATGTATAGAATTAATGTGTTAATTCCTGGTCAATTGTCTTAAACACATAAAACTGAAAGGATTATTTCTAAAGAAAACTAATGTTTCAAACGAGTTTGCATTGCATAATATCAGAGTTTTTCCATTACAATGATAAGCATTATAACCGCCCAGCTTAGCAACGAAAATAATAAACTCATTATTCACATTGTTAGGCATCAGTGATTGGCCAATTTAAACCAATCGGGCTTTAAATTGAGAGAAGGTGACTATATTATTATTTAAAATTGGTAGAAACTAAGGTTATCTGATGTAAGATTTTATTTTACTCGGATTATTTGCGATTCTCGTCTAGCGACTCGGGACGCAATCCTTTTGAATTATTTATCTTCAAGCGTTCTATAATTTAAGCTTTATTATTGTCAATGCTCATCGATTTTCTTTTAGGCTTTAAAAAATAATTCAGACCAATCAGGTGAAGTTTTTTAAATCTTAGTCTGTCTGAAGACTCACTTGTCAGCCTTGTTATAAATAACTATTTTTAAAAACTATGTTTAGCCACTTCGACATAAAAAGTTGAATATTTTTTTTAACTAAATATTTATAAAACAGCATTTTTAATATCCTTAAATTTAATGTACCATTAGACTGGACTATGTAGTGACAAATTATTATAAAAATTGTGTGCCCTTTATAATCACACTATAAAGACTTAAGTCTAAATTTAAGTGCAACTTCTGAAGGAGATGATAGGAATCAAGTTTTAATGTAATAATTAGTTACTTACTAGTTACTGTTTATAATTTTCTTAATTTGTTAATTTTAGAAGTAAATTTTCAAAATTTTACAAATGTTCTAAATTTGACAAATTTTAAAAAAATTATTATTTGTTTTCTACTAGTCAAAACCTTTTATTTGATACCCATGTCAAGGAGGTTGTAGAAATACCCAATCCATCTTGGCGACCGCCATATTGGATTAATTTATTTCCATCTTTCTCTTACTTATGCACAGCCACTACAATAAATGACGTAAC